GCTCTTTGATTGCGACCCCAAGTCAGGCGAGACTACCCGCTGAGTTTAAGCATATCAATAAGCGGAGGAGAAGAAACTTACAAGGATTTCCTTAGTAACGGCGAGTGAAATGGGAACAGCCCAGCCTTAGAATCGAATGGTTTTGCCGTTTGAATTGTAGTCTGGAGAAGCGTCCTTAGCGGCGGACTGGGCCCAAGTCCCCTAGAAAGGGGCGCCGGAGAGGGTGAGAGCCCCGTCGGGCCTAGACCCTGTCGCACCACGAGGTGCTGTCTTAGAGTCGGGTTGTTTGGGAATGCAGCCCAAAATTGGTGGTGAATTCCGTCCAAGGCTAAATAAAGGTGAGAGCCTGATAGCGAACAAGTACCGCGAGGGAAAGATGAAAAGAACTTTGAAAAAAGAGCCAAAGAGTGTTTGAAATTGTCGAGAAGAAAGCAGATGGAGACCGGTGATAGGCCCAGGTTGGATGTGGAACGGTGGTTAGCCGGTCTGTTGATAGGCTCTAGGTGTGGATCAGCGAGAATTCAGGTGGCGGTTGAAGCTTGGGCATTTGATATGCTAGGGGAATGCTGCCTCTTGTATTGTGGGAAGTAGTGCGCGCCCCGCATGTGCTTCGGCACCTGCGTACTCAGGTTGTTGACTTGTAGGCTCTCCATTCGACCCGTCTTGAAACACGAACCAAGGAGTCTGACATGTGTGCGAGTTGGCGAGTGGAAAAACTCGCAAGGCGTAAGGAAGCTGATTGGCGGGATCCCTCTTCGGGGTGCACCGTCGACCGACCTTGATCTTTTGAGAAGGGTTTGAGTGTGAGCATACCTGTTGGGACCCAAAGATGGTGAACTATGCCTGAGCGAGGTGAAGCCAGAGGAAACTCTGGTGGAAGCCCGCAGCGATACTTACGTGCAAATCGTTCGTCTGACTTGGGTATAGGGGCGAAAGACTAATCGAACCGTCTAGTAGCTGGTTCCCTCCAAAGTTTCCCTTAGGATAGCTGGAGCTGGCGTGAGAATTCTATCAGGTAAAGCCAATGATTAGAGGCATTGGGGGTGCAATGCCCTCGACCTATTCTCAAACTTTAAATAGGTAGGAGGGTGCGGCTGCTTTGTTGAGCCGTGCCACCGAATCAACAGCTCCAAGTGGGCCATTTTTGGTAAGCAGAACTGGCGATGCGGGATGAACCGGAAGCCGGGTTACGGTGCCAAACTGTGCGCTAACCTAGATCCCACAAAGGGTGTTGGTCGATTAAGACAGCAGGACGGTGGTCATGGAAGTCGAAATCCGCTAAGGAGTGTGTAACAACTCACCTGCCGAATCAACTAGCCCCGAAAATGGATGGCGCTAAAGCGTGCG